GGCGACCATGGTCGCCCCGCCTATTTTGCTATTTCCGGAGCGGATTTCTCGCTCCAGAATCAGTCTTTTGCGGCGAAGCTTGGGGGTTTGCCTAGTGTGGGAGGCCACACTAGTACGCCATCATAATCTCGTTAACCTCCATTTTGGGTGGACGGTGCCTTTGAGGACCAAGGCATATCTCATCACGCGGTTTCGGTCGCTGCGCAATTCGGCACGCAACGACTCTTCATCATTGGGCGTAAAAGCAGCTTGCTGAGGCAAGACGATCCCTTTGTGACAATATGCAAAAGCTACGCACGTCTGCATATAGGAGCCGTGCAAGGTAAATCGTAACTAGCAAAATGCCAATTCTCGGAGTTTCAGCGACTTGATGGAATCGCTGGAGGTGTGCCTTCGACCACAGGCTGCTTTTTGCGGTAATTTGGAATGCTATTCTATCGATTTATTGGTTTCTAAGTTCTTACAGTGGAAATAATTTCTTATCAACAGCTACCAAGCCATTTTTGCAACTTTCGTAAACGATGAAAACACACTTCATTTCCATCTCGCTGTGAAGAAGATGTGATGTATCCACAAAATTGCTTTGTAGTTATGTGCAGGATCAAGCGTGAATGGCCTTCCATACCTGAGGGTCGTATTCAAGGGTCAGGGATACTGATGTTAGCGATAACATGATATTGCATGATGACAGTGTTGGATAGGCATTATGGAAAACACTCGGCACATCATTCTTTTGGTTCGCCAATGGATACGTAATAGGCATAGTTCAAAAAACCTTGAAAGCGCAAGACCGTTATTTTCGTAGTAAGCATGTCAAACAGCCCTTATAGGCCAAGTTTCGGCGAATTCTGAGGTGCTTTCCAAATTTTGCCCCACTCATGAGATGGTCATTTTCATATATGTTAACTTTGTTTCAAGGATGAATTCATACTTGTTTTTGCACTTGATACGAAAGACTGCTACTTCCTTGATCACATTAGGAATCCGACTTCAAACAATCTCCAAACTATGACACTAAGGGCAAGCCAAAATCTCCTTCGTCTAATTCGCTTTCAATATCTCAGACCAGAGAAAATTAATCAGGCTAAAAACTTTGTGAAAATTACGAGGTTCAGGCTATCGCATATATATATTCTCGCCGCCTTCCCTCCCGATTCAGATAATAGTGCAGACTTATCGTGTTACCGTAACTCGATATACACCCAGTATTTTTCACTTGCATAGGTAAGGAGAAAGACTGTATTCTTTAGAAAAACGATTTAGTTCAAAATTCTTGCTGTAGGAGGAGAAGGTTTAGCAGGGGCACCGATATTAAAATACAGATATATAAAGGCTTTGCAGGTGGTTAATGGGGTGTGATGACACAACCCTAAAAAGGTGTGGCAAGCACAGCTCTTCTGGGGTTGTGCCACACCCCGTTTACTCACCTTCAAAGAGAAATTTAGCGAACAAATTGTATAGAAGTTAGTAGCCAAAATCTCGTAGTTTGTATGAATGATTGGAGCTCAATTTGTCTTCTTTCGCTTGCATAATTGTTGCTGGGAGCACAACACGTAAGTGAAAATTAAGACGATTGAAATTTTTGTTGGCTCCTAATTTCATAGTTTGATGGTTATTTGAAGCATGATTCGTCGTATGGGCAAACAGAGAGTAGTTCTTCGTACTAAGTGCAAAAAGAGACAGCTAATTCACTTTTGAAACCCAGTTGACCATGTTTGAAAATGGTCACTTCACTTGGGTGACCCAGTATTGAGACCGCCGGGGAGAGGATCGCAGCTTAACAGAAAGCTTCATATCCTGAAGCTCCGAACTTCTGGATTTCACGCTGCCTGCCTACCCATAAGTATTCTTACCGTCCTTCACAATGAACATACTGAACAGGAGCGAGGACCTAAACAAGCTGCTCCCAGCTTATTGTGTGATCCCCTGGTGACCCGTCCGACCGTCTTTTCTTCTAATCACCTTTTTTTTCTTGAAAGTTAACGAAAAGCTTCCGAAGTTGTACACATTATCTAATTCATTGGTGCTTAGCATGTTGCTGATAAGAACAAATGATGTATTAGAGTCATGGATTTTGCGATGAACCACAATTCCGATTTCAAAAACTCATTTGTTTTTATCAACAGAATGCTTAGCGCAAAATAATCAGTACAACTTCGGAAGGTTTTCGTTAAGTTCGAAGAAGGAAAAATGATCTTGAAGTGTTGGTTGGCTGTGGGGGATCATCAAGGATTCGTACAAAAAGCTGAAAAATGCTGCCTGTACAGCTTCTCGCTCCTGCTCAACATGTTCATAGTTAAGGATAGTGGGAATACTTACGAAAGGTAAACAGCGTGAAATCTAGATATCTGGCGAGGTCGGATGTGTGAGGGGGGGGGGGAGGAGAAACTAAAGATTAGGGGAAAGAAGGAGAAATTCAATAATTGCGTCCAAACTCGGTCTGTGTTGTTTTAGCATCCAATCCCGCTCTTCGAACGTCCCTCAAAATTTCCGAAACTTTTCTCAAACGTGGCCCCTGCTAGGGTACGTGGCAGAGGCCACGTTTGAGAAAAGTTTCGGGAATTTTGAGGGACGTTCGAAGAGCGGAATTGGATCTTTTTCTAGAATTTCAGGATTCTAGGTCCAAACTGGGAAGCAGCCCATTTTTCGGAGTTTTCTTCATTCAATTTGTTGTCTTCCCTCTCCAAGCGGAAATTTTGGAATTGCCACTGCCAATTGTGAAATACATTCTGAACGGTGCCAGAAACCCAGTTAGTGCAATGTACTCCAAATTTTACTTGCCCTATAACAAAAGAGCAGAGAACTCCATGACAGCAGCGAAAAAACCTCATTTCGCTCTGTATGGCAACCAAAGTACAACAGTACCACATACGGACCAAGTGATTCATAAAAAACCTCAAAATTATAAGATCAAGGAGTCTGAACTTCATAATGCAGTCTAACGCTTTCTAACCCTGCTCGTAACTTCCTTTTCAGCCTGCCCCTGCTGTTGCTTAAAATTCCATTCATGCCAAATGTAGAAGGCACAGATCAAAGTATTTCGAAAGAATACACTAGCAACCATTCTTCCGTCAAAGTCGATGAGATAGTCCGCGCTGCCTCTAGAATTTACGTGTGTTTCTCTTGATCAAATGAAAGTGATCAAGCAGTGGAGATTAAAGCCAGTATCTCACCAAAATTGAGGTCGCGCGAATCCTCCACATATTTCACTGTAGGCCTCCCTCAATAGGTCATTGCAGTCCGACTCGATCTGACTCTCTCTACGCTGAGAAAAATAGTTCAGAGTGATCCGCACAGAGCTATTTGGTCCGCACGGCCAACTTCTCCTGTCCTCACGCGTTTCATCACGTCCTTCCACCTAGCGTCCACCTCCGTGGCATTGTACCTGGCACGATACTAGTTGAATGCCTGATTATGGTGACAAGTCCCGATGTCAGTAGCGAAGATAAGTGTTTATCGCCACAGTTTACAGAATGCTAGTTAGCTGGTGACTTAGAACCTCTAGACTGTGGTAGCATACAACGTGGCAAGTGTAACCAGCGTTCTTTACAAGCTTTGCTACTGTCCCAAACATAGTTGCGATGGGGGACGCAAAGGATCTTACCCCCCCCCCCCTCCCTCACTTTGATCAAAAAGCTGGTGGAGATTCAGCACCTCAGCCGTGAAAGACAACAACCATCATTGCGTGAAAAAAATTATAATAACATTAACAGCAGTTGCACTATTTGCTATTTCGGCGTCTACAATAGGTACTAAAGCGTAAAAAAGTCACCTAAATCTGGGAAATAAAAAACCTGAGAATATCAGCACTGCAAGAAGGAATACAAGAATCGAAAACATTTAAATTTTTTTCGACAGCCTCAATGGTCGATGCCTGTGTTTGGGCATGAATTTCTCAGCTGTGAATGAACAATTTGCGCTGCGTTTTGGGCAGTGCCTTAGCTAAACCGTTTCATCAGTTTTCCAGGCAAAAAACCCATATGCTTAAATTTGCCTGAACAGTGCCTTTAAGATAGGTGGACAGATAGGCAACTTTGCTTAATAGAGAGGCAAGAAAAAGCAGCTAATGTGAGCCCATATCTAGGTTGTCGATGCTTATAAAAGAACTCTTGCTAGGACTGCAAAAATAGCTCACGTGATACACAATGATTAATGCAAACAGTAAAAAAAACAGCAAAGGTTTACGTTAGTAAGATTACGCCTTTTTATTGAATGAAAGAGGATTAAATGCATTTTTTGTCAGCCTAAGCGAATCAATAGATATATCGGTCACATTTTTTCATATCTTACTGAGGGGAAGGTTAAGATAAGAGTCGACCGTCTAAGTTGATTTTCCATATTCTCAGCTTTAGAATATCAAAAAATTGTTTGGGGCTCTCGATTCCTGGCTTCAAAAGATCCTTGCTCCCATAAGAGCAAATACATTAGAGGGGCAAGGTGGAGCAAGTTAATAGTACCTTTCTCCACCTCATTTCCAAAAACTGCCGAGTTTTTCTCGCTCCGCAGTCTATATACCATAAAGCTTAGGAGACGGGTAACGTAGACCATCAACTTTTTTTAGACCTGCTCTACTGAGAGATACGCCGCATTCTATCTACAACTATGTCCATTTTTGACAGCAGATTTCTGCATAAGAGGAAGTGTAACAACCGCTGATTATCTATCTGTAATAAAGCACGAGTCTTCGCCAATAAATATATGCCGTCGACTTTCTCATATAGTTTTCATATTCATTGCGGTAAGAAAGCAGAAAGTGACATACTAAATCAATTGATATCGACCAGATAAAGTCGGATCCTTTTCCAGAAAACCTGGAAAAAATAGGCGGTATTATTCGATTTTTCATGAACTTTGCAGCTTTCGAACGGTATGCAGCTTGTCAAGGCATTTTGTTTCAAGTGCTCACTTAACTCCTTCACCCTACAAAAATGAGAGTAGACTCAGACCCCAATAACCTGGAAAGGGTCGGGCTCCCCCTATCGCGCTTATGATCCCAAATAATGCTAATAATTCACAGAGTGATTCCCGGCTATGTTCCGTCGATGCAGCTGCCCACTGACCTGGTAAGCTGGGGCAAATTGCGAAAGTGTCCTATATCTGGTAAAAATGTCTGATGGCAAACATATGGTTGTTTTCTTCATGGATTCCGACAAACTGCTTAAAAGATGTTGCTAGTTTGTTGTTATTTTAATAACTCAAGATTTAGGTTTTCACATTTTGCAGTTCCCAGCTACCATGACATATTACTTTCTAATATTGCTATTGATCAATTTTCTAAACGGTGCATACGGGAACGCCCAAAGGAGCACAGAAGAGGTAATATGGCCATTTACACATGATAGGTTTGCGTAGAACGAAATAATTTTGGCTTAAGTACAAACATAGCTGCTTAAAGGCAGCGTCCCCTCAAACTGACGGGTACCGGGATTTTTTGCTGTTGCAATGGTAGAACCTCCAGATAGTCTATCAGTCAAGTCTGGAGCGAAAGAACGTCTCTGGAAAGCCCAAAATCCGTTCCGGAAGTCTTCCAGGTCCCGCTCACTTCTTACTCCAATTTGAAGCGAACACAGACACGAAAAGCTTCGAAGAAAGTTCATTTTTGCCATTTTCAAGCGCCGAAAAGCTCAGATATGGCTTCAGCATGGCAGAAGGCCCATCCACTCAAAATGGGGTCTGTGAGATTTTAATGCCTAACGGGAGCGGGTTCCCAACTGCATATTTGCCAAACTCGCGCTGCCAAAAGCTGTTTCCAAAGCGAGAAAATTGCTTTGAAAATCGCACACAGTCGTTGCGGGACCCTCAGTTAAAAGACTACGACATGCCGCCTCCGACGGTGGGAAAGAAGTGCGAGTCCAAGCGCGTGTAAGAATAGCTTGCGCACGCCGCTTTTTAGGGGCAGCATGCTGTGCGCTCGGACTTCCTCTATTTTCATAAATGGGGTGTAAGCAATTTGCCATACCAATTTTCCGCGATTTTTATTACTCAGACAGCAAGAAGATATAGAAAAAACCCTGTACATCGGATCCCGCCTACGGCGCCGGGTGGTAGCAAGAACGATGTCAGGGTTCTTAGGGCGCCTTTTGGATCGGACAAAAACGACACCTCTGCACGGACGACACACCATGGAGACTGCCTCATGCTCTGCACCTACAACGCCAGGACAGTCTCCACAAACGCCGATTTCCACGCTCTTCTCGACGCTGCAGAGCACATCAAGTACCACATCATCGCTCTGCAGGAAACGAAGACCAGGAAGAAGGACGTGCGACAGATGAGTGACGGGACCCTCATCATTCGTGGTGAAAAGGTTCCATCACGAAACGTTAGAGGCGTTGGTTTTGTCGTCCATCTATCTATCGTCCATCTTGTCGATTCGCACGAAATCCTATCACCTCGATTAGCAATCCTACGACTACGATCTCCACGTCAGAATCAGAAGACCATCAGCATCATCAACTGCTACTCGCCAACATAGCAGCTGACGACTCAGAACTAGATGCTTTCTACGAAGACGTAGAGGAGGTCGTCCGCAACGAAAAGTTCTTCTACAAGTAGGCGACTTCAATGCGAAAATCGGGATGCCACTAGAAAAGGAATATAGGATCGGGAAGCTTGGATATGGGCTCCGGAACGAAAACGGCAACCGTCTCATTGGGCTTCTCTCCGCCGCACGACTTTTTCATGGAAATTCCATCTCCATGAGGAAAGAACATCGCCGGTGGACTTGGGAATCGCCCAACGGAACGACTCATGCGGAGATCGACCACATTCTCACCAACCGAAGGTGGAGCTTGCTCGATGTCTCAGTAGTTCCATCCTTCTGCAGTGGCTCCGATCACCGCCTCCTTCGAGCGAAGGTACGATTCAGTCGAAGGCTCGAAAAGAAGGTCTGCCACAGTGCCGCAAAAAGGAAGAATGTCGTTTATGACGGTAACAGGCTGGAGGAGCTCATATCAAATTGTGACTGGCCCATCGAGGAGGACCCAACGTACGACTACGACCTTCTGAAAGGATTGCGAGCCTGCGGAGAGTGCGCCTCAGTGACTTCCGAGAAGAACGTGGAACGCATTTTGAAGACCACCAAGGAAATGCACGAAAGAAGAAGATTCCTGAGGCAGGATCCGAATGCAACCCATCTCGAGCGATTGATAGCCAACGCCAGTTGCAGAACAGCTCTGCAGGAGGATCTCAGGAAGTACAGGCAAGCCAAGATAAAGCAGCAGAAGGAAGACGAAGTCTCAAGAAGTGCCGAAGGGACCTCTGTGAATATCACGTACCGCTTGCTGCACTATTAAACGAAGACGGGACTCCGACTTCTTCCCGATACAAGATGGAATCTATTGCAAAGAACTTCTATATCAACCTCTTCCGCTCATCAACACCCGTGCCGATGCCCGTTGTTCCCACTGGAAAAGTACCACAACGAATTCTACCTGCTGAAATGCGCACAGCGATTCAGACCATGAAGGCATCAACGGCTCCAGGACCAGATCATCTTTCCGTCAAACTTCTGCGAGCCGAAGGACATCGTCCACACGAGGTTCTAGCGTCGCATTTAACATCTTAAGATGACACTAGCCAACTGCTACAAGAACTGTACAACAACGATACAGCTGTTCCATCGCCCCCTGACCATACCAATCGGGAAGGGGTTCGACAAGGCGACACTATTTCGCCGAAGCTGTTCACCGCGGCTTTGCAGTGTGTGATGAAATCATTGGATTGGGACGAGAGAGGCATACGAGTTGATGGGAGATTACTGTCGAACCTTCGTTTTGCGGACAACATCGTTCTCTTTTCGAGCAGTATCACTGAAGCGGAGACGATGCTGAAGGAACTAAACGAAGCAGGGAAGAAGATCGGATTGCGAATCAATCGGAAGAAGACTCAGTTCATGAAGAACGCCCTTTGCGAAGATGCAGAAATGGAATTGGAAGGCACCCCTATCACGGAGACGTCTTCTTACGTGTATCTCGGACGTTCGATGAACATGGAGAACGACTTGAGGGAAGAACTTAACAGGAGAAGAAGAGCAGCCTGGGGGCCTCTGAAGGAAGCCACCGACCAACTGACGGACCCGGCTTCGTGCCCACCCGTTCGACTCAACCGTTCTCTCGGCGCTCTGTTACGCAGCTGAGACTTGGGCTGACACCGCAGCCACTTCGAAAGCTTTAAGGACCACCCACAGAGCGCTCGGGCGCAATCTTCAGAAGATGACCCGACACAAGCAACATCTTCGGACTTCGCAGTGCGGATATGAGAAGAATGTACCGTCTTCGTGACCCAGCGGAATACGTAGCGAAAACAAAACACCGAGGGCCGGTCACATCATGAGAAGAACAGACGACAGATGGACACTAAGAACATCGGAGTGGATTCCTCGCGAAGCAAAACGTCCCCGAGGAAGACCACCAACGAGATGGGCAGACGTGTTCGTGGAACGGATGGACCAGCTGAGAAATCAGCTGGATACGATTTTTGCACCTGGAACTCATGGACGCAGCCACCGACGTCAGCCAAGAAGATCGTGGACGTCAGAAGCGAGGGACAGGGAGAAATGGAAACTTCTGAGCTGGGGCCCGCACGTCACGTGAAGCCGGGCCATTTGAGTATCTAAGTAAGTAAGAAGATTTTTCGCGATAACAGTTTTGCCGAGCCTTCAACGCAACTGTCGTTGAATCTTTTCCAAAGCATGTAATCCTGTGATCTGCAGTCGTTTGAGCAACCAAGAGGTCGACTACTCTGAATGAATAGATGCTGGATAGAGAAAGAAAAGTTGCTTCTGGTCAAGTGCTGATTAAAACGAAGTATGGGGTGATAGTTTTGCTTTTTCAAAACATTCGCTGAAAAAAAGAGTAAGACTGTTTTTCTGAACATTTCACTTGCAGCGCCAGTTGGCAGAGAATATCAATCCTAACAAATATGTGAAAAAGTCGAAGCTTGAATCATCGTTGAATATAAGTGTGCCAGTGAGTTACGATCATATCTTCATTGGTGAAACTAATTTACCACTTTAGTTACACCGTTTACCTTATACTCCTTACTATTTCCACAACGTTCGGATAGGCAACCACGATGCATTTAGATTAGTGATTTCAACGCACTCTTCGTTGCTATGGGTGCCGCATTTGGACTGTACATCGTAAGTCCTGACGAGTTTCCTACAATGAAATTTTTTGTAACTTTTAGAGTCGCGTGTCTCTCGAGATATGGGAATGGGTTTAACCCGCACCTATCGCGGTCTTTTGTCGATTTGAATTCTACGTTCGTGTCAATCGATCCTTTGGGAAACGCCAAAGGCATTCTTGGAAGCGATGAAGTCCAGGTACGACACTGCAAAATTAAAGGTCCTAGTCATCTTTACTGTTAACACCAAGATTCTCAGAAGGACCTTCTAGAAGTCATTCCTTCTTTCTCATTCTACAATCCAATCATATTGAGCACGCAAGACCTTTGCAAGCTAGGTACCATGATTCGAGATATTAGGTTGTCAAAGTTCCCTATTCTTTGAATTTTTGAACTCATACACGTCTTATTCTTAATCATGTTTTGGAGTACTAATAGTAACATCTTTTAGAGCAAAGCAAGCTCTGAAAAATGCTATTCAAACATTTTGCCTAAGTTTGACCCACGCGAAGTCAGAGCAAAAAATTATCTAAACGCTCAAAAATCCAGAAAAAATCATATTCTGTCAAAAAAATTCCTATAAGTCCCTTACTTACTCACGCATACACATGCCACATCAGATATTCATAGCAGCTTTGCGGTATTTTTTTCCAGGTTGGAAATCGATAGAACGAAAACTCCCATGCCTCTGTTTTTTTAGCAACCCTCAAATTCGTGATGTCAGGATAAACAGATATTTCAAGCAGTATTCAGTGCAGAAACTTACCACTGTTTGTAACCATGTCTAATTTTCGCTGCTTTTCTGAAGCCTTGTTTGAGACTTTTGAAGGTGATCCGATGGCCAGCTGATAGCACTCAAGCCTTTTGCAACTAAATGCATTTTTTGTTTTTCTCCAGCCTTCTTATCTCGTGATTGTTTTACCACAAGTCTTAACTCCAAAATAAAAATCCATAGCTTCAAAATAAAAATCCCCAATACATAAGTGCATCAAAAACTGCCAAATCTTTTGATTGTTAAGGTTTTCAAAATTTGATTATTACTATCATTTATCCCATTAAGTAAGTAAGCGATTATCGCTTTATATATATGAAGTATTTGAAAATTAGATACAGTGAGCAGACAAAAACTGAAAAATAAGAGTATTTCGTCGGCAAATGTAAAGTGTATCGCAACGAAAAGGAAGATTTTGAAAAAAAGGGGAAAAGGCTGCAACAAATGTTGCCTGGAATGTTTACCAGTTCATGTGTTGCGAGCTTGGAATTGGCAACACAATTTGTTCAACTTTAGTAGATGTTGTCGCAGCTGAGCCAAGATTGTTACACAACCTTTATTAGGCTTACGTTTCGGCGTCTCCGCCTTCTTCAGAGCCTGTAAAAACGATGATATTTGTAATCTATCCCTTTAAATGCTCTATCTCCACCACATCGGTACAACTCAATAGTCGACAGAGCCAAAAACAACCGAGAGACGCAAAACAGTTAGCGCTTACCTTATAGCCTTGCAGTCAAGAGTAGGCGACCATCCACAGTGAAGCGCCGCTGCTATGATATTGTTATATTCAAATCACTCCCCGCCTTGACCCGACCCCGACCCAGTAGGTCAAAACCCACAAAGGGTCTGGAACTGTGCTAGCTTGTTTGTAACGGCAACGCCTTCTTCCTTTCTATTAATTTTTGGATTTCGCGATGCAATCCAAAAGGCCTCAAGAGTTTTGCGGGCTATTGTTTGGGGTTCGTGCGATAATATTGTGACAGCCGTATCGAACGTAGCGTTTTCATGATTTTCACAATTTGTTCACTCAAAAAATATATTAGGTTGAACACTAAGTTTTGCAACTTTTCTCATAACTTCCCTCTCACTCAACATGGTGCACTCAAATTTTGGCACTGTGTTGGTTATTATGTGTACTACAAGCGCAGCTGCTGTTCTACCAAATTCTGACGTCGCAGTGAGGGTTACGGTAGGTGTATGGTGTGAAGGGGAAAAATTCAAAGTTTGATGGATTTGGCTGAAACTTGGCATAGGGATGTTATCCGACATGCTGATCACGAAAACGATAGTGAAATTGCGTGACAAGGGCTTTTTTCTAGGATTACTGTAGGTGTACGATATGGGGGTCTCACCCTAAACAAGGAAAAACACGTTGATTTAATAAATGAATGTGATACTCGCATTTGGCAAGACAAATAACCTTACTACGTAAAGTCTCGTCGGAATTTGAGCTTCGGACTCTTTACATTGACGGTCGTCCCCAGCAGCTCTTGCGTACATCGACTGGTTCGACTTTGTGAGGACGCCAAATCTCAACATGCCCCTGAATTTTGTTTCTTTCTCAATAGGCCAAAGGAGCCAACCTCTTGCAATAATTTGTAGACGAATCCGGATTACTGCGCATGGTCTAGGCTGCTAAAGGCTTCATTTTAGCTTGAAACCTCAAAAATTCTCAAATTTACTAGTTTTCGAAAAATGCCTGAAACTTTTCTATTTTGTGTTCAAAATTCAGACAATTTGTGCTCGCTTGTAGCTCACATTGCATTCTACATGATGCCAAAGTTTGAGTGCGCCATGTTGAATGAGAGTGAAGTTATGAAACAAGTTGCAAAACTTAGTGTTCAACCTAATATATCAGTAATTTCAAAAGCATGCCAGAGAAAAACAAAAATTTTGTCTGTTAGCAAGAAGCTTGCCCTCAGCTAGGAAAGCACGTTCAAAGGTACCAAGTAAAAAGAAAATCAGCGAAAATTAGGCATGGTAAAAATGAAGTGTAAAAGCTTTAGCGATTATCTCAGCCCTTATTCAGAAACTCGCATCTTGAACTTATCCGTTGATAAGAAGAAGAAATTCATTGTACTGCTTAAAATATCTGTTCTTCGTTCCACGGAAATTGCGTGTTGCTCATAACAAAGGAATAAATGTTCGCACCGACCCAATATATTGAGTCGTCTTAGAAATAATTTCGCTTGCCTTGTACAAGCGGCACATTTTGCGGAACGAAGATTTAATAGAGATCTTGGTAGCATTCATTCAGTGAAGTTTTTAATGCTCTATCAAAAGTTAAGATTGCAGTCCAACAAACCAGCCCGGAGGAAATTACCAGAAACCAAGACACATGGCTTTTACCAAGGTCAGACTTCGCTAATTTTGTACTGATTCCTAGAAGAAGTCCGAATAACGGATAAATAGAGTAAACCCTATAAGATACAGAGAAATTTGTTCTCTTTTCAAACTCGCCATAACTTTTGACGGAATTCTTCAACATCATCGAATTTTAGCAGACCTACATCAAACGTAGTCACATCAAACACCAGTCTGTTTTTGATACTTTCAAAAGTAAATCATATTCAGCATTGATCTCAAAAGACAAAAGTGCGTTAGGCCCGGACAAACTTCACGCGATTTGATCGTCGCGACTGAATCGCGACGAGACAACTGTTACAACATCATTCCATGCCGATCAACTTGCATTTCGGTTGTGATACTTTTCCGGCCCGAAATTTTTGAATGTGAAATAAAAATGAATGGAAATGTTAGCGATTGAGTCGCGACGATCAAATCGCGTGAAGTCTGTCCGGAGCCTTAAGGAATTGAAATAAAATCTTGAATTTTTCATCTACAGCTTGAGGCGCGTTCAAAAACAAGAATTGTGTTGATTTTATTCCCCTAAGACTTTATAGATCAGGAACAATAAACGCTCCGTCAAATAGGAGGCAATGTTTGCATCTAATAACACGAGTTGCGCGCCGGCTGATGTTTTATGATGTTTGTGTTGACCATTTATGGAATTTTATAGCATCAAAAAGTAATTTTGAAGGTTTTGGAAACTAAGGTACGAAAGGGAAAATTTGTTTTGCACTCCTATGGGGTTTGCACTATTTATTCTTTACTTGGGCCTCTTTGAAGATTTAGCAGAAAATCTAGAAAAATAGCGGAATATGACCGCGACAAAAATCACGGGTCGCAGTTTTTGGTAACTTTTCAAAGGCTCATTTATTGAGCTGCGTTATATAGGCTATCATTTGAAAGAGCATGAAAAACTGCATCGAAAGCTATCAGTATCTTTCACAAACCTTTGTTTTGCAAAATGTGGCGCCTTTTCAAAGAAAGCGAAATTACTTACCACACAACCCATTTCTCGGAAACTAGAGTCTGTGAAGAGGTGAAAGTTTAACGTGAACCTCAAAAAGTTTTCATGCTAACTTACGTAAGAACGCATTGCCTTGGCGAAACATAAAATTTTTTTGATTCCTAGATAAAGAAAAAAAGCAACAACGGCACTATGAATGCTTGATGTGAAGTGTATGTGATAGTAAGGGACACGCAGGATTTTACTGAGTAAAAATATAACTTTTTTGATTCGTTCAAACTCTAAAGGTGCATTGAAACCTATCAAGAAACGAAAATGATTTTTCGCGGTAATCGCTGAACGGTTGTGAACGTCTGATGTTGTATGTGTGTGCGTGAGTGTGAGTCTCGCAGGAATTTTTTTGACGAACTTATGATTTTCTTCAATTTTTCGGGGCATCTAAATCTCTAACAATCTTTGAACTTCTCGTTGGTCAGATTTAGTGCAAATGCTTGGAAGCTATCGTGTAGCTCTTGCCTATCGAATGGTACCTCAAAACCCAATCAAATATAAGAATTTTTTCCAGTCACGGTAGTTTCAAGTGTGACAACACTCATGTAACGACCCTTTCACAACATTTTTAATGTTTAGTGGAACAAAAAATATGAAATATCAGCGTTCATCACAAGCTGTGTTACAGTTTGCTTTAGCTTTCAAGAAAGGAAGACAGATTTGAACATGATTCCACAGAAGTTAATGCGCAAAACCAGCGCTTTCGAGGTCTACCGAAACTTTTTTTGGTTTACTGTTCTCCAGCAAACATTCTTAGAAGTTTTCGCTATCAGGAACCACCTCCGCGGCTCGAACGATAGAATAGAGACGTATTCTTTCTGGAAGGTCTTTGCACAAAAAGACAGACCATTGACTCCGTCAGCTTTTTTATCTTCTGATAAAAACCCTCAAACATGCTGACATGGAGTCAGCAGTCATCTGTTAAAAGTGATGATACCAAAGTATTCCATAAATGCGACGATCTGCTCGAAAATTCACTGACATCGTGTCGAAAATGTTTGCAAACTTATTTCAAAGAGATTCCGCTTAATGTGGAATCAACAGCCACATAACTTGTACTAATAACAGGTCGGAGATTCTCGTGGGAGATTTCAAGTTTCAAACCTGACCTTTGGGCTTGCCATGGAAATGGAGACTAACGAGCTTGGCGTAAGCAATTCTTGTAACTTCTCTTCTCATATTCTGAACCTAGATAATTAAAGGAACAGCATAGTGGAATAGTCGGTCTTGGGCTGAATGACGCAGAAGAAGACACCGAAAGTTACATAGAAACTCTCGTAAACAGAGGTTTGCCGGAAATAATTGTTTATTGTACAGGAGTTCCATAAAGCGTCCCCACATGATTGATATCTCTTGCTTTGATGTCTTTCGCTCAATTCTAGGTACTATTATGTAGAGCTGGCTAAAAAAAGATTGGCGCACGAAGCAAATTAACGAACCTGTTCATTACCGCAGGATTAGATAGGAACATTCAGCGTAATGGTGTCCTTCAAAACTGAACGTTTCAGAAAGTTTCCAAGACAGCTGAGAGATTTCATAATGAGATTTTGAGGCATTGTTTTGAGCAAATGAGTGCGCAGATTTTTTGAGGCTTTTCGAATGGTATGACTTTTTTCGATGAATTTCAAAACCACTGGTTTGAGATGTACTTTTCTCGAAATTAAATCGACCGTAAGGTGCAACGCCTATGTATTGACTCAGCGACTTGACTCACCTATTAACAAGAGTTTCGGATTTTTTCGTCTCTTTTTGAAGCAAGATTTGATTTTCACTAGTGGAACATGTTGAAACTAAAGAATGGTCCTTCAAATTCGGCAAAATACACCAGGAAAGAGAGATAATCACAAAAACAGTAAGAACAAAATCTTGGGACACCTTGTATTCCTGATTTTCTGACCCAATTTCGAATAATTTTTTTCAATACCTTTATTTCCAATTTGCTTTCCTTGTTAAAGCTTAGAAATTATTTAAGAGAAAACTTTGCAGAAACTTAGGATTCTTTACTCTTGAAGATTTTCATTATTCAAAGAAGATAAACGATAAAGGAGACAATAAAACAAGAAAAATCTTCTGAAACTATAGGCACAAGAGATGGTTCATCTGTACTATGGCACTATTATTTCAGAAATTATTGAGGAGCCTGTGTTTACTATATGGCTAAATCCTGATACAAGCGCTTCTGACCAAGGATTCCTTACTTACGGATCCAACGACAATGTGCACTGTGGACCAATTTATGATGCTTTACTTATGCATCTTCCCACCTATACGTTCAGTGTGAGTTTTTTTTTTGAGTTCATACGCTCGTACTCATAAAGGTCGCGTCGACCGCTTGCATACCCTAGAAAATTCGAAAAGATCCGCGCTTTTCTAGGGTTCATTCGTATTACGCCACAGGATGCGGCGTCGCTGCTGCAGTCGCCATGAAAATATAAGCTCGCTCGCTGTAAAGGAACACTCTCGGACACGACTGTGCAGCAAATATAGTTACACATCCATAACCGCCAAAGGTGTGCTGCACTGAGCGTATATTTTCGCTGCGACTGCAGCGGCGCACGCCGCAGGACGCGCGTGCTGCCGCGTGCGCCGCTGCAGTCGCAGTGCATCCTGCGGCGTAGTATGAAGGAACCCATAGAAAAAAGGCATGAAGGCAATGTCCGGGCAGATGGAGCATTTAGTCTCGACAGTTTACTGATTGCCTACGCAAACCATAGCTCGATTGCGACTGCAAAATTTAGCTTCTGAAGCGAGAAATTTGCTTCAGAATTCGAAACATATACGCCCTTCGGTTTTCATCGGAGCAGAAAATTGTGGAGACCGGCCGTTGCGACGCTGTCATTGGCTGCAGTGTGCCCCGCCACGATTTCCTGCTTCGGTAACGACCGAGGGGCGCGTATGTTTGATTTTCTTGCTTCTTAAGCAATATTTTGCAGTCGCAACCTTTTGCATGGGCAGTCGGCTTTCAGTAAGCTGCTGAAGGTGGTTGCTTTTGAATTTGCACGGGCACTGCCTATAAATAAACAATCATGGCAATATCAAAATGTGCCATGTTTGACTACATTCCAAGTTGGATTTATGTATTCACTTGGCATCATTCGTCTCCATCCGTTTTGAGATACCCGTCTGCTCTCCTTTGTCTCCTCACTTGATGCGTCCTTAAAACGTAGTAGGACTAGCTTTGAAATTTCCGACAACTAAAAAACGAGATAGAATTTGTAACTTCTTTTCGGTAAATGTGAACAAAAAAGAAGTCAGTTAGCTATTTAGTTTAAGGAAAGGATATATATGCTAAACGGTATAGGAAATATGTGTTAAACGGTACAGCTTGCTAATTATTATGTCTTTTAAGATAAAGTCGCTTAGCATGGGTGATTATAATGCTGGATTGTATTTCAAAGCTGAAGTTGATTTGGGACAAATGCTATATATGCCACCTGCCGTAGCGAGCGCAATAGCACATCATGCAAATGCTCAGGTAATCGTTTCACAAAGGAAACTTATATAGTCGAAGTGGCCTTCTTATATGAGATGTATACTTTATTGGGGGGCATAAAACGCTGATTCCAAGTCTGCCTTAATTATCTGCAGAGCCTTATGGACGAGGAGTCATGAGCATTTATTAGGGCAAAAAATCAGGGGTGCAAGTATAAAAAATCGTAATATTTTTTTCTAGCGCTCTAATGGAGCAGTGATATTATCACTGCACTTTGCTCAATAAAACTTTGAGATAAAAAAATATAATAGGTTGGCACATAAGTTTTGCAACCTTGTCCATAACTTCGTTCTCTAGAATAAGGCGCATCCAAATTTTGGCATTATGTAGACTCGGAAGTGCGCTATAAATCTGCGCAAACCGTTTGATTTTTCGTGGCAAAATGGAAAAAATCTGCGTATTCTCCTAAAAGCAGTCAAAATTGAGGTTTTTTGGTTTTTTCAACAAAAATGAAGACCTACAGAAAGTAAGTCAACCAAATTCAGCTGGAACTGTAGGCAAAATGTTCTCAGAGGGTGGCTACTGAATCCAGCGAAAAAGAATCGTGATTCATTGTTAAATCGAAATCTGGCGATTTCATAAACTCGAACAAATCGAATGCGTCAAAGTAGCTTGGATAATTCATCAATGCCAAAGAGTCAGAATTGTCGGATTTTGGCGAAACTTTGCACGATGGGGTAACTTGACATGCTGAATACGAATATCATATTCAATTGTTGTCAGAGTCAAAAATTAGCCTAGAGATTTTTTGTAATTCAACTTTTTTTGTAGCAAAATAATTTTTTCAAGCAAAATGAATATCGTTTTCGTAATCAGGATGTCGAATAACCCCTTTAGACCAAGTTTCACCCTAATCCGTTTCAATTCCTTTTTCTTTCCCATTCAAAAATTGCCTTACCGTAACTCTCGAACGTGATGTTGGAATACGGCAGGAATGGCTGCTTTCGCTGTTCACACGATACTCATTATAATACCTGAAAATAGAAGCGCCACATCGCAAAACACACGAGTTATAAGAAAAAGTTGCAAAACTTATGTGCCAACCTAATATCTCGGTGCTTTTATCTGAGGATTTTAGCAACTCATTTTATCCTATATGCACATTTGTTTTTTTTGCTCCTAAACCCTCATAACTTCTCGTTCATAAACGCTCCGCAGATAAAAGGGCAGATTCAAAATGAGCGCTTTATACTGTTCTATATCGTGTACATTCCATTAAAAAAGCCACTTTGACTAAACATGCTTCTCTTGTTAATACCATGTACATCAGTGCTCTGATATAATCTTTAGTATGAGCCTGAAAGCAACCTTTATTGGATAAAATGCAGCGCCAAGTTTCCTGACCTTATATTAAATGTTGATCACGCCATTGCAAATGAAACGGTGCGATCGAGTGATCTGATTATCGAAGTGAGTGTTAAGAAGTTTGACTGTAAGAATGTGCTAACATTGTATGGAGATCTTGTAGATGTTCCGTGCTTGGTTGAAAAAGTGAGCATTTATTGCAGGTTGCAAACATCAAGAACTTGTGTGTATTGGCAGTGTCTGGAAGAAACAGGCCCTCCTTTGGCCCAACGCTCACACTTGGAGCACCTTTTCTGCGCAACTACTGCGCTATATTCGATCTAACAAGTCACAATATGAGATTTGCTGAAGCTCTTCCTTATCGGTCCATGAACGCTACAAAGTTTGCTTTGTAGCTTTTGTGCTCAATACAAAAAGTGAGCATTTTTAGTGATGCGACAACGACTACAATGAGAGCGACAACGTTTGGTAACAGCTGCAAACTCGTCTTCCTTAACTTACTTTGCGCCGTACTTCTACTACACTCTTTGTGATTCAAAAAAAATATTTTCAATAAAGATTTTGATATTACACAAGCTCTTTTGAAATTTCAAACTATCTCTCAAACCTCCCAATTCAAAGTAATGCTCGCATTTCAGGCATCTTGCAAAAATCTCCATTTGTTGAGCTATAATAAGATCTGTGAGATAGATTCAGTTTTTAGAAGTTTCCGTCTAAAAAATATTATTCTGCTTCCTGACTCGTTCCTGACCACTAGGTGAACAACAGTACAAAATCAAAGGTGCGGAAAAAATAACATTATCTATCCTGCTGTGGGGGTACAACGTCGAGTGACTCCGCACTTGACTGAAAAGGGCTATTGCTGACTCAATCACAAACAGAATTAGGTGAGCAAGTCAATGTTTTTGAGGGAACAGGTAACAGAATTTTTCATCTATTCGTTGTGCAAGTATCTGTAGTATGGGCAGTGAGTAGGAAAACTGAATTCGCATTCACAATATAAAGTACGACTAATATAGAGGATGCAGATCTTTGATGTATCTGATTTTATGGGCATTATTTTAAACCGTGTATCTCAATATCGTCTTATGCTTGTGCTCATGTATGAGTTCCGTGGCCATCGTGCTATTACTGTTCTGAGTAAGCATGAACTACTTAGCATTACCAGTTATTTTTGAGATAGCATGGACAAATGACTCACAAAACTTTCGAAAAATTTGATTGTGATCGTCGTGTATAAGGTAACATCCATATCTACATATTTCACCCCAGTCTGTCGTAACGTTTTGAAAGCAATTTTTGCATATTTTTGGCCTCGCTATCTGTGTCGGCTTGAACTTCTGAGCTTCTCATTTCAAAGAAACCTTCCAAATGTCAACGACAAAGCGAGACGCTTCACCTTCATTTCGACAAATGCCGAATTGGAGGTGAAGCGCATAGCACAGCTTTCGTTTTTTCGTCTCTAGCCCGGCGCGATTACCTTAACAAATGAACCATATAAGAAACGCGCTTCTGGCTCTCATAATTACAAAAACTAGAAAATAGACACCATAACACGAGCCGCGTCGTCCAGTGCTGCCAAGGTTCTCTAGGCTTAACCTGCACAGTGATGTTATAGGTTCCTCCACCAGGAGTCAGCCGCAAGAAGCTAAGTCCATACACATAGAAAGGTGCGTCTCGCCGCCTCACCTTTTCTGCGGAAGCTGCTGAGAGCGACGCCAAGCACATCTTAATAATGAATTGGCAAAAACGAGAGTCAAAGGGACAAATGCTGCCACCATCGCAGCATACAGGGTGTCCCAAAAAAATGTTAACACTCTTTGATCGTTAATAACTTCGTTGCTTTCACGTCTTTCGCCGAGTTTTAGCCACCATTCTGTAGAGCGAGGTTCAACTTAGATTTGTAGTATGGAGCAAATCATCGATCGCTCTTCATTACTGTAGGATTACGGTGTGAACTTCTAGCATGTGGATCCATTGTGGAATATGCCATCTGACAAAATTTTTTCAGAAATTTGGAAAATCACTAGGATTTTCGTTCACGCTGATTCCACTAAACAACTTTTTACGAGTGTTTTTAGCTTTTTTACGGTATAATCACATTTCTGGCAAGTGCTGGAAATTCAGTTATTACTGTTTACCCGGAATAATCGTGGAAAGAAGCATCACGGTAAAGTGAAAATTTCATATTCGAAATCAGGGGCTTCCATTATCATAGTATAAGAGTTTTTGGTTTGTTTAATTTGTTTCGAGGCAGGATACGGCGTTCAGTGGCCTAAAATCCTTGTCGAAGTTCGTACCGTAATTCTTCAGTAATGAAGAGTGATCGATGATTCGCTCCATACTACTGATCTAAGTTGAACCTCGCTCTACAGAATGGTGGCTAAACTCGGCGAAAGACGTGAAAGCAACGAAGTTATTAATGACCAAAGAGTGTTAACATTTTTTGGGACACCCTGTATATAGAGAAATTGCATTTTACATGGCGAATTGATTTTGTTCAACATAGCAACCTATACTCAAATCTGCAAAAACAGGAAAACAATACACACTGAAGGCAGCGTCGCACCAGACTGGGGTACCTGGCTCAAATAGTAATGTAATAGTAGTCCCTCTAACTAAGCGAAGACAGAAGTTTGCAGCACGAAAGGTGGTCTACGAATCTACAAATTGCCCCTCAAATGGCCGGATCTTACGGTAAGCTTTGACGAGTACGAGATTCATGCAAGATAAAGACGCAGAGTCGTTGCGGGACCCTGCGCTTATGGCTGGGTGCGGCATGCGTGCTCAGGCATTCGGGCCTACCGTAATATCCGGGCCACTTTCGGAGCAAATTTCAGGCTAGACTCCCGTTTTCGTTTCGAACTTTAGCATCGCTTAGGTAGCGGGTCTACTTTAACATCGCCACAATAACCTAAAACCCATCTTTTTGCCGGGACGCTGCCTTTAAGGTCATTGTCATTTGCAAATGGAGAATGGGAAAGTATCAACGGCCTGCTGACGAGCTAACCAAGTCTGAGTTTTAAATATTCTTGAAAATGGGTTCACTGCGATGCATTCCAAGGTTTGCGGAAATTAACCGACAACGTACTAGTGCGGTTGATGACAAGTTTTCAAAATTAATTATATTGAGAGGAGTTATACGGTATTCCTTTTTTTAACTCATGGTCCCTCATTTCTAGTTGTTGTGAACCACATGCAAGACTAGTGCAGGCGGTGGCAAAATACCTTTCAAGGAGACTTGTAGAATAGATGAAAGCTCATCACGGTTATATCTTTGAACGGGCCGCTCCGTCATAGATATATACAAGATCATGAGTGATCAAAGAATGAAATTTGTGGCTTCCTTATTTGCAAAAGCCATGTAACTTGTTCTAGAACGTGATTCATTCCCTTATCATTCAGAGTACTTTGACAGCCATTACATAGTTCTTCATTTCTAAAGCATGTATCTGGGCACTCATCTTATCTGCCTGACAAATGCAATTGACGCTGCTTTTTCCAGTCATATGACAACAATGCAATTAGTAATGTAGATAATTACACTTTTTGTATAGTGTTACAGTGTTACTGCATTAGGCTTCCATTCAAATACAACGTCACAAAAAAGCGTTTGACCCTTAACAACTCTCTTGTCATGAAATCATGACAAAGATCAGGTACTTTTGCAGAGCTTGAATCAGCTTAGATATACGGTATAGAGCAAATCATCGATAGCTCTTCATTGCTGTATGAGTACGGTAAGAACGTCGGACATAGGGTGTCACTGTGAAGAAGCTGACGTTTAAGTTAAATACTTGTCAAGGAGGCTGTGTCTAATACTTAATTTCGCACAAGGTTTTGCAGCTTTCTAAATGATGTAATCAAATTTTTTAGGAACATCGAAAAGGCTGTTACTGTTTGCCTAGCACAGCTTTTTAACTATCAGATAAGGTGCGGACTTTATATTAACACATTCACAACAAGGCCAATTTTTCGAGTACTGCCGTTTAGGACTAGAGCCTTTTTCGCTTCGTAAACTTACGAGCCACTCATGGATCGCACTGTCCGAAATGGTAGTCTTTTTGAAGAAAGTTCAAAACATGTATCCAGGATTTTCCTAGTGGAGTAATCGAAGATCAAAAAAATAATTTCCTTCAGATTTTGGCATTATACGGTGAGGTTACAGTAGCCAGTCTGTACGGAACCAACATCATGGATTTTCATGAAAAATTGCATTTGGGTTTTTTTGGTTTATTTCAGGTGCTGATCACAATCATAGGGTCTACTGTTCAATCCTGTCCTACAGTGGGGCTACGGTAGCAGTACGGGGAATCTAATCTTCGTTATCAAGAAACTAATGTAGGAAGGTGGTATTAGAACTTGAGACCATCATTTTCGTAATCAGTATGCTACCATATATGTAAGACTCGAGCTTCCTGGGATGAGCAATACAAAAATCAATAAAATCAATAAAACCGATAATTTTTTGGTAGGCTAACCAGTTTCCTGCCCGCACCGTATTGTGCATGTACAGTCAGTGTCGATTACGTACTCCCTTCCGCATGGGAACTACGCTTGCGCAACGCAAAGGCCCTGCGTGCGGACCTTCAATCGATGGGGCCAATTTGAAGGCCAAAGCCATACGCGTGCAAACATGGCGCGAAGCTCATTGCGCTTAGGAAAAGATAGCGCGTGATTGCACGGACTGTACACTTGACTTCCAGAAACAGCTCATTCTGCGAGATATTTAAGCTAAAGTCTGCGCCTTATACCTATCTGCAGTATACCTACCGTAACATTACGTTACAGTATCCCGAGCCGGACCACTTTGCTGGAGCTTCGCCTAGGTGTTCCCAATCATTTGCCGGAACCGCGTAGAATTACGTCCTGAACTGCAGAGCAAGAGCTTTAGGAACTTACGACCCACCGGTGGGTCGTATTGCCCGAAATGGCAGAACACGTACGACTCACCGGTGGGTTGTATTGCCGTGAACATTTAAGAAGGAGCAACATTAAGTGCCTAATAAGAGTTTTCAGGTCGTTTGGTTTTCTTTCTGGTGCAAACTATAGCTGTCCATCTCAAAAGCCTTTCTAAAGTTTCTGCTATTCTGTCATCTCACAGCATTGAAGAGGATCAAGAATTCGGTCTGTACTGTAAAAGTTGTGGCCAGATTTACGAAATGTTACCTGAAGCTTCTCCAGAGACTCTACAACAAAAGAGTTGTCAACAATCAAGCGTTTGATACATCTGTTTGGGACACCCTGTATAGTACTGTGGTCACGCGTAATAATGTGCGCACTACACTAACAGTGGAAAAGAGTGCCGATGACTATAGAAAGCGTTTAGAGGTGAATAAATATCAACCTTCATTGTAGCGTTACAAATTTGCAGCATTTGGGTTTGTTCCTCAATCCCCACGGATCCTTGACCCAAAGCCGGAAGTCATGACCGCTCATTAGTTTAGAAGTTGAAAGTAACACCTCAACACCGTTTTCTTATCTGGTTTTCATTTTGGGCAAAAGAACATCTGTTGCTCTATTGTAGAAGGAA